GCCCCGATGGTGCGCTCGAAGCGGAGAAACGGCGTTAGGTAACGATAGGCACAGGACATCTACTCCACGAATGGGCAAAAGCCGATGCAAAGGCGTGCGCGAACATAAACAACGGTAGAAAAGTGCCGTTGCTCGCCGCTATGAGATGCGTGCCGCAAACTCGGTCATCCGCGGACGATCCCTCTCCTTCCGCTCGTACTTTCTCTAACTTGACGGACACTCTGTCTCGCAGTTCATGCCGCCGAAACGATCGTCGGGATACCGGGTAATTGCTACAGCCGAGCGCGGCACAGTTTACCATTGCTCTTGCTGTGGAGGGTCGAAGAGTCAACTACCAGCATGGTGGATACCGTTTTTTTTTTTTTTTTATTCTTGCAGATTTGTTTTAAAAGAAGCCGTGAACGCTACACTTATGCGGTTTGTGCGAATGAGTTATACGCCCAGGGGGACGTTATGTAGTTTGCTAATATTTGCGTTAAGTTGGCTAATTAATTAAATATCATTAATTAACTTTTAATTAGTGAAAATAGACATATGGTTTCAATTAGAAACTTGCTGAGCGTCGTCCAAAACCCCTAAACCAGTATTTTTAGAAAGAATGAGCGCGTGTGAAGCGCAGTAGTGCGCTGAAGTTATAACTCGTGGACCAGGTACAAGGCTGGGGCTATATAAGAGACAAAAATTGCGCGGGCGCCTTACCGAAACCGCTAGCCTTGTACCTGCTCCACGAGTGGTAACTTTAGTGCGCTTCTCACGCGCTGAAAGACATTCTGAAAATGACTGATTTAGGGATTTTGAACCACGCCCAGCAGGCTTCTTATTGGAACCGTATGTCGGTTTTCGCTAATTGAAAAGTTAATTAGTGAATTTTAATTAATTAGCCGAGTAATCGCAAAGCTAAGTCCCCACGTAATGTCTCTCTGGGCGTATAACTGACTCGCAGAAACCGCATAAGTGTAACTTTCATGACTTTTTTTAAAAACAAATCTGCAAGAATAAAAAACAAAAAAAAAACACGCCCTGATATGGAAGGATATGATACCCTATTTGGCAGATCCAGATATGGATATGTAAAAAATTGGGCAGATCTGGCTAGATAAGGCCTACATAAACTGATGTGCTTGATATGGCCAGATCTGCCCAATTTTTTATATATCCATATTTGTTTGTTTTTTATATAAGTCCAGATCTGCCATTTTCGTAAGGGCTGCCTGTACTTCACCAAGCTAAATAAAATCACCAGGAGTAACACGTTTACAAATCATTTGATCGATAGCTATCGCTTCAATGACAGCCATTTAACACATGTGATGACCTTAATGACAATATAATTAAAGATAGAGAAGATGTGGGATTTCTTTATATTTGACTTTTGTGATCCAGTTATAATTACTGTCAATAAAATGCAACAAACCCCAAGATCACAGCTATTATTTCGGGACGTTGTATGACATCTTGTCTTGCTGGCCACAAGCCGTCTAGAATAATTAACATTCCTAGTATTGAGCATAAACGTTCAGCAAAACACTTTTTAATGCACAAAAAAAAGTCACAATGGCGTCTTCCGGTAGGCGAAATAATGAAACATCCCGCATAGGCTAATTTTGTTTTTCTTTTTTGCGATCACAACACGAGGCTGCAGATTCTGCACCGTAAGAAAGGCAAGACTTGTTCCAAAGTGGGATCCTCAGGACCCGTTATGTTGAACAGACAAAGGAGCGTTCTTTCGTTTCGGATATCACAAAAAAAGGCGGTGAATTATTTCAACTTTGGAGCGCGACAGGTGACACAGAAGGCACGGAGAAAAAAATTCGGGTGCGGGGAAAAAGCAAAGGCGGATTATCGGATAATCATTGGCGCCGATTCCCGCCAGTGGAATCCGTACGGAGAAAGAAACCATCCCTGAAGAAAATCAAAACACAATACAAAACACAACGCGATTTGTCGTGAAAGCATTTAATAGGTGGTTCGAGCACACAATCGCGCTCGCTTCCCCGGTTGTTTTTCTTAAAAATATGAAGGGAAACTAATGCCTCCTTCGGTCGTGTATGATGTGCCAACGCTGAGAGAACAATAACGAACCACCGCGCCGCTTCCGAAAGCAAGCAATCACGCCGTACGGCCGATACCGCTTTGGCGCGCGCGATATAAACAAACCGGGCATTCTCACATTCCGGGTATCACGTGACCTTCACTTGCTCCTTAGTGGCTCTCGCCTAGCGTGGTTCTGGCCGTGAATAGGCCGCCGGTATGCGATACCGGCCACCCATATAAAGATACCGGTACGAAGGTACTAGCCGCTTAGATATATGATTTTTCGTCACCTGTATACGCTTACCGGCGTACCTGTAACCCCTTACAGGCGACCAGCAAATCCGCGTCGGAGGCCCGTGTCCGATACCGGGTGGCCCGTGTCAGATTTCAAGTGACACGAACCGTGTACCGGTAACCGGTATATGTATGTGGGTGACCGGAAAGGTTATACCAGTCACCAGTATGATTCTGTAGACCAGTATAATCTAGCACACGTTTTTTTTTAGCATGTTGCGCGAATTTAAGGACGTAGGAACGATTTTGGCGCATATTATTTTTTTTATTAATATTGTCTGTGCGCAAGCCTGATAAGGGGTGGTTGCCACGGCGACTTTGGGAGAGACGGAGTAGCGAGGATGTTGGAACCCAGGAAAAGCGTTAAACCAAGACGTCTCAGTAGCAATTTTTGGTTGTATTGACCGAACTTTGTCAAAGTGCCTGCGCGGTAGAGGGAAAGCTGTGAGCAGTGCGTTCTTTTATCCAAGTGCCACCTCAATTTTTTTTTTTTTTTGTAACGTAATTTTTTTTTTTTACTTACACCGTTTTAGTTTTGTTCTTGTCGCCTCGCAGTGAGTCCATCCCCAGGGGGTGGATATGCCACCAAAGAGATATATCGAAGGACAACCCTAAAGGAGGACACATGGAGGGCAAGGACACACACCGTCGGAACAAGGAAAAACTTAGCGTACGTTAAAGCCGTCGTTGGCGAAAATAAAGCCCCAAAACGGAGAACCCTAGTTATAAACTATAATTCTTGCTATAAAAAGATCATTTCTATAAGGACACAAAAAAAAAAAAAACGGGTTTTCGAGAATAGTACTTTTCGAACTTCTACCAACTTTCTAAATTTCAAAGATTTTTAACTGACGATATCGATGAGATAATTAGAACAACTGATTGTGATTAATATATTCAGAATAGCTTTTTTGGAGCTTTCCGTGGAGAAAAAAATATTTAAATACAACTTCAGTAGGTCGCAGATAATAGCAGGTCAAAGTTTATAAAAATAGACATGAAAAGTGAGTTTTGCGATTTATGTAAAACAAAAATGCTTATTAATATTTACATGCATTAAAGGGTCCCTGAGGAGGTTTCTGAGATCGCCTAAATATGGCGATAACTCACTCTGCCGCACCTAAGCATCCTGGAAGTCACTAAATCATAACGATACGCGCCTGATTTCCCTATTAAAAAAGTCAGGGCACTTAGGCAACCCGTAAGGTGAAACACACCGACAGCTGAGGTGTAACATGGGAGCCGTTAGGGCGTCATTTCGAAGCAGATGGACTGAGTGAACGGTAGAGGTGCGAGCGCGCACCATGGAGTCCGCATAAGCCTTTCGTGTTGTACCGAGTGACACACCGGACGAAAATCCCATAGCGTTTTGAAACCAATGAGGTTCAATTAAGTCGAGACCATTTCGTGAACCAAACAATTTTACTGGCCAGAAACTAGGACTACCTTGTGGTCATTGAAGAACACTTCGAACATTGTGCGCCCAAGTTTGAAATCCAGGGAACGACGAAACTGCGAACCGTTGCCTGTCGTTGGTGTGGCTGCCTGAACGTCTTACCAATATTATTGGACACAAACTACCGTTGTCTTGTGGTCACTGATAAACACTTCCAAAATCGCGCGCTCATGTTTCAAGCGTGCAGCTCCACCTAATTTGACGCCCGTGGTTTTGCCGTCTTAATACCCCCCTAGCTGTATTGGTTTTACCGCCCGAGAACCTTTCTGGCATAGTAAGCCAAAACGCTTTTTTCCATTATAAGCAGTCTCATGCTCATGTTTTTACGTGCCTCATGGCGTCACGCGACGACGTATTGTTACATAATGTCTAAATATCTCGTGACGTCACAGTGTCACCCGACGTCATGAGATCACATGGCTTATGGAGTCACTTGACGTCATTAAATCGCGTGACGTCACTGTGCAATGTGATGTGACATGACAATGCCTTGTCAGGGTGTCAGCTGACGCCAGGTAAAAGGCGACGTGATGCGCGGCGTGACGCCAGAGTCGTGTCGAGCAGCGTGACGTCAGCGGCGTGAAGACAACGTGGAATCTTTTGGCGGAGTGCCTGATGATGCCACGGCAACTCTGCCGTGGCATCATCGGCTAACATGCACCCGATCACGTTCACGCAGATACTCATCGGCGGGCTGTTATTCCCCTCATCATCGTGGAAGGCATCCTCGCTTGTGGGATGCTTCGTGGTCACCGGCGACTCACTGCGGAACGAAACAAAGACTGCACCGTCACTACCTACGCACGTGGCAGGCTTCCCCGGCGCAGCAGCCCTGCGCAGGATGACGTCATCAGGAGACCCCTGCTTGCCTGGCGAACAGTATATAAGAAGCATGCCCTCAGCCGCCGGCTCCAGTGGACACGGCAACTCTGCCGTGCCATCATCGGCTAACATGCACCCGATCACGTTCACGCAGATACTCATCGGCGGGCTGTTATTCCCCTCATCATCGTGGAAGGCATCCTCGCTTGTGGGATGCTTCGTGGTCACCGGCGACTCACTGCGGAACGAAACAAAGACTGCACCGTCACTACCTACGCACGTGGCAGGCTTCCCCGGCGCAGCAGCCCTGCGCAGGATGACGTCATCAGGAGACCCCTGCTTGCCTGGCGAACAGTATATAAGAAGCATGCCCTCAGCCGCCGGCTCCAGTGGACACGGCAACTCTGCCGTGGCATCATCGGCTAACATGCACCCGATCACGTTCACGCAGGTTGGTGATCGCAAATACGGGTTCCGTAGTGACTACGTTGCCTTAGTTGTGTTGCCGTGTCCACGGGTGTTAGTCCAGTGTGTTTATGATTGTCTGTCTGTGACGGGCATGCTACTTAAACTTTCCGGTGATGTTGAAGAAAACCCTGGGCCCATAACTGAAAAGATGTTTTTTGAGATGCTCCAGACACAAAAAGAGATCCTTAAAAAGGTCAACGAAATTCAGGTAAAACAAGACACTTCGGAAATCAATATACAGAAGCTGCAAAACAGGCTGGACACGATTGAGGAAAAATTACAAATGGTCGATGAAACTAGTGGCAGGCTTGGTCAAATTGAAACCAGGCTTACCGGTCACGATCACGAAATTACTTCTTTATACAAACAAGTCGACGATCTTGAAAATCGATCCCGGAGAAATAATTTGATAATTAGAGGTATCAGTGAAGCAGCACCAGAAACGGAAGAAGTCCTTGTGAGAAGCGTAACTCATGAGGTATTTGATGGTATACTGAAAGTTAAGGTTGATTCCATTGAAAGAATTCACAGACTTGGGAGGCAAATACCCGGTAGAATTCGGCCTGTTATTGTGAAATTCGCTGATTTTCGGGATAAAATGAAAATTCTTAACAATTGCTCCAAACTAAAGGGTACCCAAATCAGCATTAACGAGGATTTCTCAAAAAGAGTTGTGGAGATACGCAAGCACCTGTGGAACTCTACTGCAGATGAAAGAAAGGAAGGCGCAAAGGCTAGATTGGTTTTTGATAAGGTCAAAATAAACAACGTTCTCTATGCCTGGGACGAGGTTAGAAACGAAAGATATCGGTGCTCATCATATCCTAGTACGCAGGATAAGGATCAATGACGTCACAACAAAGCACGCTTCAAACTAATTAACATAAATGCCCGAAGTATTGTAAATAACGTTGACCTAATTGAAAGCATTGTTCTTGAACACGAACCCGACGCTATGGTGATTACAGAAACGTGGCTACATTGCAATATTTTAGACAGTGAAATCACACCACCAAATTATACTATAATTAGAAAAGATAGGGAAGCACGTGGCGGAGGCGTAGCAATTTTGATCAAAAGCGATATTGTATTTACTGTACTGGATGAGGTTAAAGATATCGAAGCTCTATGGGTCCAGATTAGAATGAATGACCGGGTTATAGTCCTGGGCGGTGTATACAGACCTCCCAATTCCTCAGTTGACTTTTTAGTGAAGTTGCGACAGTATATGGACTCTGTAATATGTCATAATAAAAACATCTTGTTAGTAGGCGACTTTAACTTACCAGGCATTGACTGGAGTACGCTTTCGGTGGGAACAACAGACGGAGCCAGCTGCGAGCAACTACTGGAAATTGCATTTTGTTATAATTTATCTCAAGTTGTCACAGAACACACAAGAACGACTTCTGCTGCATCATCATTACTTGACTTAATCTTTGTTTCCACAAACCTAACACCCCTTCTTTCGGAATGTGAACTTTTTGAAGGCATCTCAGATCACAAAATTACATGCATGACGCTAAACTTCAGCCCTTGCAGGCTTGGTCGCCCTCCGCATAAAAAGGTTCTTAATTTTGAGGCAGCAGATGACGTTAGCATTTTAGATTATCTTGAGAAATCGCTTGACGACTTCCAGTCACTCCACCAGTTAGATGCTGCTACCGAAGTTTTGTGGAATTTTTTTGCTGATGTGACAGCACACTGTATTAGTTTATTTGTGCCTACGCGTATCAAAATAATAAGAACTAAGAACACCTGGATCACTAGAGAAATTATTCATGTAAAAAGAAAAATAAAGCGATGTCGGAAAGCTAATGCAATTAAACCAAATGACTCTAGGAAAATGACACTGCAAAGCTTGAGTCACGATCTGAAGAGGCTTGTTAAAGATTCGAAGCATAAATTTTACAATGTCACTCTTAAGAAATTTATTATAGAAGCCCCGGCTAAATTCTGGCGATATGTTAATCCCCTCCGAAAAAAAGGAAATTACTTCCGACAACAGTCAGCAACGAGCGGAAGAATTCAACACCTTTTTTTCATCTGTGTTTACTCGAGACAACCAACATTTACCAAGAGGTAGAAATTTCGCTGGTTATCCTCCAATTAGTGACTTATTAATTCAAGAGGAGGGAGTTATTAACCTCTTACTTAACATCGATGTAAAGAAAAGTTCCGGGCCTGACGGAATTCCTAATGCGTTTTTGAAGCGGTACGCTGAATGGGTTGCCAAATATCTTACTATAATTTTTCAGTCGTCTATAAATAATGGTTCCGTGCCAAAAGCCTGGAAGACTGCCAAAATTGTACCCATACATAAAGGAGGCTCTGTTTCTTGTGTAGGAAACTACCGACCTATATCTCTCATTAACACGTGCTCTAAGCTTCTCGAACATATTGTTTCAAAGCATCTTTTAACGTTCCTCAACGATCACGATATTTTCTTTCAATATCAACATGGATTTCGTAAATGTCTTTCCACAACGACCCAACTCATCGAAACCGTGCACGATCTTTCCCAATCTATAAATAACCGTGGCCAAACGGACGTCATATTTTTAGATTTTGCAAAAGCATTCGATAAAGTGTCTCATCCTAAATTGTTGCTTAAAATTAACGCCTTGTTTAAGAACCCCATCATTACAAACTGGTTTTGCTCGTATCTTTCATCCAGAGTTCAATTCGTTGAGTTGGGAGGCTGTGTGTCTAGACCCGCTCCAGTTGCTTCTGGAGTTCCACAAGGTAGTGTGCTAGGACCGCTTTTATTTTTAATATTTATAGACGACATACGCTGTGGAATATCAGTTCCAATTAAACTGTTTGCGGATGATTGTATTTTGTACAATAAAATAGAAACTGAACAAGATCAACTAAAACTGCAAAATGAACTCCTCAAAATCAAACATTGGTGCGACGAGTGGCAAATGGTGTTAAACCCTCGAAAATCAGTCGTTATGTCTATAACAAGAAAAAAACATATCCTAAATTATGATTACTTTATAGATGACACCAACCTACCTCGTGTAGACGAAAATAAGTACTTAGGAGTTACCTTTACAAGCGACTTAAGATGGAATACACACGCGGAAAAAGTGTCCAGTAAAGCTAACCAGGCACTATGGTACCTCAGAAGAAATCTTGCAAGTGCTTCGCCAGAAATAAAAACATTAGCTTATAAAACACTGGTGAGACCTATCCTTGAATACGCAAAAGTAGTGTGGGATCCATGTACAATAGCTAACTCGTCGAAGCTTGATAAAGTCCAGCGGCTTGCTTCCAGGTTTATCTTTAATAAATATAATCGTAACCATTCCCCCACTGAACTCTGTAGACTTGCTGAACTTCCTTCTCTTGAATTAATAACAAAGTGCGACCGCCTGAAATTTATTTTTTTTATCATTCATGGTCTAGTTAAGATAGACAAAAATAATTACATGGACGTACGCGTCAGTGAATGTACGAGACATCGTCATAGCATGCACATCAGGGAACCATCTGTCAAAAATGATTGTTTTAAATTTAGTTTCTTTCCTAGGGCAATAAAGGAATGGAACCAACTCCCGAATTCCGTCGTCACTATGACAAATGTCTGTGATTTTGTTAAAAATATAAAGAGTATAGTGCTTGATACTGTGCCGTGACTTTGTGTTTTGAATGTATTTCTTTTGCTTTTTTATTCCTCCGGGTGAATCACTTTTTTGAAGTGTCGGTGCATGATTGTTCTTTTACTTCTTGTATGTATTACCACTCCTGTAAAGGCCTTGTAAAGGGCCGACAGTATCAATAAATAAATAAATAAATAAATAAAAAAAAATGATCCGCGTCGATAAGGAGCGCGGTTGACGGCGCGAAAACTGCGAAGTGCCCCACTGACTGCCATCGCAGTAAAAGCAATCGAAGATTGCAACACAGCGAGGTCATCTCAGGTGATGGGAGCAACATGTTCCGAAACCAGGACCACTGTCAGTCAGTAGCAAGCGAAGGACCCTCGAGTCTTCAACCGGTGGACCCACGAAGTGATATCTCGAAGGCTCGCGACTCGTCACCCGGACAGCCCGGACACCCGGACTTCGCGCAAGGTTTTATTTATTTTTTTTTTAGTCAGTCGTACTGTCGTAGCAGACAAAGTCAATCGTGTACCATCGCAGCCATCGAGCCATGGCTCTCGCTAACCTGACGCCTCTCGAGGAAGGGATGCTTCGACGAACAGCCGACATGGGGCCCATCTCTTACGATGCGACACCGTTGCACGACGTCGTAAATTCGGGCGCAGCAAGCGCCGCAAACAGCCGCGACAGGGGGCCGCGCCAAGCACGCTGCAAAGGAGCCAGTCCGTCCGAGGCAGCAGACGCATCGGATGACAGAATTCAGCGGCTTAGAAACACAGAGTGGTGGGTGATACGCCCTTCATCGTACCGCTGGCGTACGTAGTTGATGCATGTTCTTCTCTTTTTTTTTAACAGGTGCCTATCTAGTTCTTGCACGCCGATGGAGACAATTGTCCACTGCATCTGCTGCCGAGAATACTCGGGCGCCGTACGCAAGCAGCCAGGCTGCGTATCAGCGTGCCCGGAGTTCGAGGCCCCATGTCTCAACCGGGGTTCCTTAAGCTAGCTTCTTTCAACATGCGCCACTACCGCCAGAAAGGCGTCGGCCCAAGTGCCAACGAGTGCCAGAAATGCTTTATTTTTTTTTTACTTTTTTTTTTTTTACATTTTGGTCTTACTAAGTTTAGACAACTTCTAGCGTGACCTAAGCAAGTTGAATCCAAATATTTTTTTCTTATTTCCAAAGCTAAGCAGTACAAAAAATAATTTTAAAAAAGACATTCAGGGTTAGTCCAAACCTGTTAAAACCTCAAAACACAAGCCATGTCGTCATGAGATATAAGAACAAGCTAAGAGATTCAGTAATTCTTGCTCCCGTGTGTCTCACTCTATATTTCTTAAAAACACCAACAAGCTTTTTTGAAACCTTTTTAGTGGTGTCAACGTCCGTGTAAATTTTCTTAGTATTGTCAGCGTCTATTTGCACTAGAAAAGATTTTAAAAAACAAACTTATCCGCCAAGGTTTCTGTTTGTACATCAAGGCATGCTATTTACAGTCTTTACATATGATCAGTTGCAAGATTCACCGTTGAACGTGACCCACGTCACACACTTTACGTCGTACAAGTGCAGTTGGTTGTATTGTTTTTGGTGCACAAAACAATGTATTATTATTTTTGTGAATTTATTGTTTAGTCTTGTGAACGGGCCAACAAAGGGCAAAGTAGCTATTCTCTTTTATGATCCTGAGACTGTTCACTGTTCTGACGAGACCAGCTCCTCCGATCATCATACATATGTTAGGCCGGTTTCAAAGCAAGTGACTTTTCTGTTCATCGACATTGCAACAGCTGCAACTCAAGGATCTTACAATCGTTGATCAAGTGCTCAAACAGCAGTGAGATGTGTTTATGCTTATCATTAATGTAGAAATAGGATTCTCTTTCCCTGTTTAGACACAGTATTATTCTGCAATAATATTAGAAGATATGTGAAAAGCCGACTACGGGGAAATTTTCACAGTGGACATTGTTATCCGTGTAGAACAAAGGCACAGTGTGCTCAACTCTTAAATCTAACGCGGGAGCGGTGGCCGAAACTGATATCAGCGCTGTCTAGCGATTAAACCAATGATGCGGCAGAGAATAAGGCGGTTCTTCTTGCGATTGTCGCCACTCCAAGATACAATTATCGCATGCCCCCCTCGTTTCTTTCTTTATCACCCAGGCTTTAAATTTTAGATGCGGAGCATCT